ACCATTATACGGCCCCACAAAGAAAAATGATCTCCCTGTGGAGGTCCATCGTGCAGCAGCTGGCAGACTCGCATGCTCATAGAGAGCTGAGTGCCTTGCCGCTGAAAATGGCTTTAGACATCTCATAATTCCTCGTCTGGAAACATCCCAATCGTCCACACAAATCCCGGTGGCAACAAACTCCCTTTCGGCAATTGAGGCACTCCGCGCTGCCCCACTGGCCGTGCGAGACTACGTTGCAGAGTAAATTTGGGTTATGCTGCTTTCCTTGGTGAAGCGAGTTCACCCTGCAGAATTTATACCGTTTCCCCATCGCACTGCGGTATCCCACGCAATGAGGCCGCTGACAAAGAAGCCACGATTGCACGATCCCTGCAGCAATGAGGCATCCCAATCTGGCACGTGGAATTCCTTGCCGCCGTCAAGGGGCTATACTGGAAGGAAGTAGAGGAGGAAGAAGAAGTCGTGCACACCGCACGCCAGGCGCTCGTCGGTGTAACAGAAACCCCATTCCTGGTGTGCAGGCAGACATCGGGCATCGAATCACGACTTTGTGCGCAGGTGCGATGCGACTCCTGCCCACTCTTCGGCAGACCGGCACGCGCCCTGCAGATCACAAGCAACCCTTTACGTCGGTGGTGCCGTCCCTCCCTCACACTGAAGAGGCAGGACCGCCCCGACCTCCTCCGGAACCTCCACCTGGCGTGTCCACGGCACCTCCTCGTAGAATGACGAGCAGCAGATCAACGTCGCCCTGCCCAAGCTGCAGCAGCGTCTTCTCGTCCGTCCACAATATGAAGGCACACGCCCGACGCACTAACCCTGGCACTCCAATCGTTGCAGAAGACCTCACATGTGGATTCTGCGACAGCTCCACGGTCTCCCCAACAAGTGCCTCACGCGCAGGTCATTACCGAAAATGTCAAGCGTATCAACGAGAAAAAAACGGACAACGCACCTCTGCAAGCTCCAATGACAGCCGTAGCCCTTCAGCCACTCCTCTGCTGCAACTCCCACCAGCCGCTGAGCCCCCGACAATCCACGAAAGGGCCTGCCGCACACGCTGTGGGAATGCCGCCGTCCTCGACAACTGAGCATCCGACTATTTGGGAACACCACCTCTCGCACGACAGCACCGTTCAAGAAGGAAAAACTGGCCACATCGCTACGGACAGCCCGCAGGCCATTAACGAACAGTGGCTGCAAAGTATAACGAAACAAATATTTCCCTTTTCTCAGCATAGAAAAACGTCACCTTCACACTCGCAATTGCCACCAATGGATTCATTGCGCAGTACCGCTCCGAGCTGCAATACTTCCTGGTACCATCCAGGTCCCTTGTCGACGCATTGATGCGGATGGGCGCCCATCCATTCTTCCCAATGACGGTGCATCTCTGCGACGCACCCTCAGATCCAAAAGGGTCGTCCCTCACCACAGCCGGGATCGACTTCGCCCTGTGGGCACGCATCGCTTTGTCAGAGGAGCAGGAGTACGTCAGGCTGGCAGCAAAGCACACGCCAAAACAACACATCACAAACCTCATCACAACCAGAAGCACCAGCAGCAATGCAGAGCGTCGTGTGATGTGGATCAACTGACGCATGCTTTACGTAAAAGAAAACACTTAATGGCTTGAAAAGGATAAGAAACACTTACAGTCGCTCAAAAGAAAGAAAAGTACAAAAGACAATGTAGGCGTACGCAGTCAAAGCATGCCAATAAACAAAAACAAGGATAATGAGTGCACTCAAACACAACACAAGTAAAACAATAAAACGAAAAGAAGAAGCGTGGGACGACCAGCGCACACACTCTCATTGCTCCCGTAAAGCAAAACACACACACAGGGAGAGAGAGAGAGAGAGAGGTCGCCCATTCAATGCAATGGAAACAAAAACAAAAACAGTTACGGTGCTCCGCCCATGCAGCCAGGCAGGACGGCAGCGGTGCGTGTCGTGCAAAAGAGAGCACCAACGGGCATGCATGGGTGTGCATGCATATGTACAATGGGCACATTATGTGTGTGCCTCGTGGGATGAGGTGAGGGCGAGAGTCCATGCAAGGGGACACACACAGAGAGAGAAGGACGAGTGTGTGTGCGGGCGGTCCACGGCTCTCTCTCCCTCATACTCTCACGCGGCCACCACCGCAGCAGCAGCCGCACACGCAACAACAAGAAGAAGAAGCAAAAGAGGGGAGGTGGTGTGGGAGAAAGCGGTGCTGCTGTCATTTTCGGCAGGTGTCGCCGTATCAGTTGTGTTGGCGGTGGGTTTTATTGCTGTTTGAGGTGCTGCCTCACTAGCTGTGGGAGCTGGGTGGGTATCACTACCCTCAAGATCTTCGTGTGATTCGTTGGGGTTGGGCCGTTGAGCATTGGCAGTATTCTCATCCGCCGTACTCCGGGCTTCACCACCGCCACTTGTAGAGTTGGGTGATGCTGTTTTTTCCGCTTGATTGGTGGCAGGTGCATTCTCCGTCAAATTCTCTGTGGCTGTGGCTTGACCTTGTTGCTCTGCCAGAATATCCTCTGAATGATGTTCCGGTGCATTGTACTCTGTTTTTTTTGGTAACAGTAACCTTTTATGCTCTTGAGCATTTGGTGTCTGTGAGTCTGTTGTTGCTGTTGGTGGTTGCCCTTCTCTTGACGATGGTTCTGTTGCTGATGGCGGTACTTGTGTCTTTGGCGTTTCTTGTGGCGTTGTTTGCCATTTTTTTTCGCTGTCGGGGAATGACACGCTTGAACGGTCTTGCGTCGCCAAGGCTCTCTGCTGTGCCTCGTATTCAGTTGTACCTCTACCAACAACTTGGTTGGATGCCGTATCTTCTCCAGTGACGGAATGGTTTTCTGCATCTTTTATTGACTCCTTCGGTGCCTTCACCTGGGACGGGACGGGACCTCCAGTTATTGTGTTTTCTGAATGCTTGCCCGTTTCCAAAGATTTATTCTTCTGATTGGTAGACGCATCGCCGGCGTGCTGTAGAGCAACCCCAGAAGAAGGAGCCTTCAAGATGGAACCTTCAATTCTATCAGTCCCGCCACCACCATGACTGTCAACAGATGGTGCTTGTGGTGATGCGTTTTGGTTTCCTTCCTCTGCTGGAGCTGCTGGCGTTGATGGTGATGGGGTTTCCTTCTGTTTTGTTAAAACTCCGCTTGTCTGACTTCCATCCCGCTCATTTGCATCTTGTCCATCTTCGTGTCGTCCTTCTTCACCACGTTCCGTTACTTCTTCCAAATTTTCATCTTCTACCGTTTCTTCTTCCTCTTCTTCTTCTTCCGAAGATCCTTCTGGGAGTGCGGGACGTCCTTCCCGAGATTTGTGTTGTTGCTCCTCTCCTGACGATTGTATTTGTGAGTCTGGTGCTGGCGCCGCATTTCTTGTCCCTCCCAGCCCACCTTCAGTACCACTCGCAGAAACATCGGGTGGAACACCATGAACTGCCGCCTCCCCTTCATCACATCTACCGCCGGCACCGCACCACAGCACGCAGAGGGCACACACCAGCAGCACACGGCCAGTCATCATCATCGCCATCACTCCTGTCACTTGCGTGCAGCCTTCAGCACAAACTAACTCCCCGTCAACGTAGAGGGAAAGGAAAAAAAACACCAGTACCGCACAATGACAATAACAAATACCAGCAGCTTGCATACAGCATGAGGCAGATGAAATCAGCGCGATTGCAGAACTTGCGCACCGCACCGCATGTAAGAAATTTAAAAAATAAAAACAGAGTTGAGAGTCCGTCAGGATACCCGGAGAAAATTAAAAAAAATCAATCGGGCAGCACTCTTATTTCATATGCCAAGCAGCACAAGACAACCGTGTGTTTCTGTATACATAATGCCCTCACCAGAAGAGAAATGAAATAAAAAAAAGACTGTACTCTTCCACCAGCACACAAAACACTCTTCACACTTCATTGCGGCATCCGGCCTGTTCCCCCAATCCTCCTTTCGTGCAGTCCGTGGGACGCACAGCAATAAGGCCGGCACAGCGTGTGGGCAACAAAAGACAAAACAAAGAAGAGAAACACGTCACACATGACAGCGTGCAGCAACCGACCATTAAATAAAGAAACAGCAAGGATACGTATCATTCCAGGAAAACAACAACAAAAAAAAACAAAAAAAAAGTTAAATGTAAATAATAAAAGAAAACACGCAGGGAACGCGGCACATGTTCTCCGTGAGGAGTCGCAATTCCACACTCTTCGGCTCAGAAGACCGCCACAACCCCACACAATCCCAGAAGAAGCAGCAACGCCCAATACACACACACACACGCACAGTGCCGTCATCAATTAACTCTCGCAGTGTCAATTTCGCGTCGTACAGCAGGGCAAAGCAATCGTCGGGACACACACCGTTTCCGGAATACTGCGCGGTGAATTCTCGTCATTGGGGTTTTCGTGTCCAGAGGCATTGCGTTCACTCAATCCGCCCGCATCACCCTCAGCAACAAATCCACTGCCTGCAACACCATTTTCTAAAGAAAGGAGTTTTGTGTCCGGTGGCGTTGCGCTCACTCACCTCGTCCGTGTTATCCGCAGCAACGTGTTCCCTGCCGCCATAAGTGACAGACATGATCTCGGATGCATTCGACGCCACTAATATTCTCGGACCGTTGGCAAAGGAAGGCCTCTTCTTGGATGCATTCGGGAACATCATTTCGTTCGGATTGGTGGCAAACTCAGGCCTCGTCTCGGACGTGTTGGTCGCCGTGTTGGATGCGGGACTCGGATCGACGGTGTTGGGTCCGTCAGCCGCCGCAGACTGTCGCCAATCCTCGTGTTGACGTGACGGCTCAGCATTAACTTGCGGCGCAGTTGTCCCACCAGATTTTGTGTCATCCTTCCCTTCACGGGGTGGCGGCAACTGACAGATACCCGTCCGGTCAGTATCGCTGCTCCGTGCAGGCGGATGGATGGTTCCATCGGGAGAAATTGACGCCACCACAATTCATAAGGGCCGGCATATTTATGTGTCGTCACATTCATCGTGAAGGCAACGGTGGCCCCTTCCTCTTCCGTTGCACAGCTGGCAGCACAGTTGCTACATGTGTGCACCGCATTGGCCACATGGCACACAGCACCCAGCTCACCATTCCTGCCATGCATGCGCACACCAAAGCCACTGAAAGTATAATTCTCATGCTGAGCCTCAGCACCGGCAGCAGAACCCTTCCTCCACGCACACACACACACACGCGATAGCTCAGGCTGCCGTCACTCGGAGCACACGACACATCCACCGGCACAACCACCGCATCCGCAGCACCAGATACATCTCCAGCACTCCCAACAGCCGTCACGTACACGGACGAGAGCGCAAGGAACAACACGGCGCACACAACACGGTGACGCACCGTCGTCATCGCAGTCATCGTCACCACTCGTAGTGGAGTCGCTGGAGCCAGTCAGCTGATCGGTGAGACAGAAGAAAAAGAATGGAACAAGAGGGAGAGGGACGGAGCAAAGCGAATGCAGCGAGAGAGAGCAGACAGCATGCGGAGAAGGCAGCAGGCCCAGCCGCACAGTTCACACACCACGAGACGGCATCCACACAAGAAAGGCACACAACGCCAGCAGCCACCCACCATGCAGGAGGAGAAGATATCCACCACCGTCTCCATCCAGCTCATCTCTACAGCCAACGGGAAATGGCCAAAACCCCGCGGCCACCACACAACGCACACGGAGCGAGCACCCACCACACCAGCCACACGCGGTGCTCCACACCCGCAGGAAAGGAAACTCGGGGTGCGCACTCCTTCTCCCTTCTCCTCACGGCCACGGAAGAAGACAACAGCCGCCACACGCAACTGCCAGCATGCACTGCAAAAGGAGCATTCAAATCCACTGTTATTTGCATCTTGTGTGTGTGTGGTTGTGTGTGTGCCTGCAGACAAAAAAATCAAAGAAGAAAAAGAAGAGCAACAAATATAAACGCACAAACTAAAATTTACAGCGGAGGTGCATGGCGGAAACAGAGAGAAGAAGACCGCTCAAACTCATGACTACACTGCCGCCCAAGCAGCGGCAATTCACACAAGATTTATTTAGAACAACAACAACAAAAAAAACTTTCGCCTTCGTCTTATACAAGCCCCATCACACAAAATAATTATAAATAAAAAAGAAATCATCCATTACTGTTCCACACAATTTTAAAAAGCAGCCGGCTGCCGTGTGGCCACACCAAACTATCTGCATATATTTTGCCCACAAAAGAAAATTAAATAGTTGCATGTCTTTCAACCGTCTGACCCTCCATGTGTCCACACATCGTTTATATTTCACGGGGTCATCTGCGTGTTGCTGCTCCCCTCAGCCCTTTCATCGGCGTGTGAGTGCGGCCCGCAGAGCACAGTCACTCGTGTGTGGGGACTGAGAGAAGCACGCAGAAATGACGGGAGTCGCGTCTCTCCATCGGGAGAGTGAGCGCAGCAAAAGAAAAAATCATCAGGAGGGGAAAAGAAACGCTCACGAGGCCGACACCGAAGAGACTGCCGGCACGTGAAATGCACACGCAAAGCAAAGGATCTTAAAAACACGGCGGCAGGGTGTGGCTGTGTGTGTGGCGCTGCGGGTGTCTGCCCGCCCTGGCCGCAAGAAAACAAAACAAGAGGGAAAGAAATGTGTGCTCCGCCCCACAGGCCCTCGTCGCACGCCCACACGTCACGGCTCCATCAGCGCGCCGTTCGTCGCGGCCCCTCCTCATGCGTGCAGCAGGCGAGGCGCACAGGGCCGTCGTCATGAGCGTGTCGGTGGGTGTGCGAGTGGAGCAGTTGGGCGGGAAACACACGGCACCCCTCACAGGAAGAGTGCAGAAGAAACAATTAAAAGAGGGAAGAGTAGAAAAGAAAAAAACGTCCATAGTGATTACCCCAAAAAGCAAAAAAGAAGGATGAGAGATTAGAAAAAAAAACAGCACAAATTAATAACACAAAAAAAAAAAGTAGCAAAAAATTTTAAAGCAAACAGAAAAAAAAAAATTACAAAAAAAAAAAAACAAAAAGCCAAACCGTGGGACGAACAGTGCACACACTCTCATTGCTCCCGTAAAGCAAAACACACACACAGGGAGAGAGAGAGAGAGAGAGAGAGGTCGCCCACTCAATGCAATGGAAACAAAAACAGTTACGGTGCTCCGCCCATGCAGCCAGGCAGGACGGCAGCGGTGCGTGTGGTGCAAAAGAGAGCACCAACGGGCCTGCATAGGTGTGCATGCAATATACAATGGGCACATTATGTGTGTGCTTCGTGGGGTGAGGTGAGGGCGAGAGTCCATGCAAGGGGACACACACAGAGAGTGAGTGAAAGACGAGTGTGTGTGCGGACGGTGCACGGCTCTCTCTCCCTCACTCTCACGCGGCCACCACCGCAGCCGCAGCCGCAAACGCAACAAGAAGAAGAAGCAAAAGAGGGGAGGTGGTGTGGGAGACCGCGGTGCTGCCGTCACTGTCGGCAGGTGTCGCTGCCGTGCCGTTCAGGTTAGGGCCTTTGGCTGCAACGGTTTTTCTTTCGGTTGTGTCTTCCTTTTCTTTGACTTCTGCTGTTGTTTCTTCTGCCTTATCCACTTCGTTTTCATTTTTTTGGCTTGTTTTCTCTGCCTCATTGTGGGTATTGTCCTTTACGGCTGTTTGCCTTCCGTCAAAATTTTCATTTGTTGTTGCTTTTTCTGAACCTTCCTCATCTTTTAGTACCTCTTCTCTGTTTTGTGCCTCCCTTTCCGCGGCAGGTGTTTCTAGATTTGATTTTGCTCCAACGGTTGTCTGTTCTTTTCCTGCATCTTCTGGTTGCGTCTTTTTTCCCGGGGTTCCTGTTTCTGTTTCGGCTGCATTTTCTTCGGTACTTAATTCTGCTGTTAAATTCTCTGCCTGTGATGGTCCTGCTGCTTCTTGCGTTTGCGTTCTGCCGGCGTCTCGTTTTCCCCCAGTCTCGTCATCGTTCGTTTTCTCAATACTTTGAGGGTCCGTAACTTCAACAGGGGGAGCAGGCTGAAGAACTGCAGGTACGTCAGGGGATGTACCGTCGGTATCACCACCCAAATTCAATTCTTTTCCTTTTTTACTGCTTCCTGCATCTCCTTCCTTCTGTCCTTCACCCTCTTTGTGATCTGTGCCATCAGCTGAATCTTCAGTGTCTTCAGCATCTTCCCCGGGATCTTCAGGTTCGTCCTGTTTATTCCCTTGAGCCTTTTGCTTTTCTTTCTCTTCCAATTCTTTTTGCGGTTCTTGTTTTTCTTCTTTGGGTTTCACGACTTCGTCTTGAACTTGCAGCGTGACTCCGTTCTTTTCTTCCCGACCTCCATTTGAATTGCCGATGGCTGCATTGTCAACTTGTTTGTTATCATCGGTACTGTTAGGACCTTTCGTCTCTACAGTCGGCCTTTCCTCTTTGTCTTTTTCCTTTGATGTCCCTCCACTTTTGCCTTTCGCCGTCTCAAGAGACTCTGCGGGTTTCGGTGGATTCTCTCCTCCTGGTGTTGTATCTGCTTGCCCTGGTTCTGAAACGACCGGTGGTTTCGCTTGTGACTCTTCCCGCGAACCAGCACCAGTCCCTGACTGATCCTCTGGGGAAGATACGGAATTTATGTCAACCTCACCAGAATCAACATCACCATCAACAGCAGCAGCAGCCACGGCAAACTGCTGACGCCTCCAACGGCTACGGCCATCCACAACGGCACGCACACCGTCCATCCCCCGACCCACGCATTCCTCCACGGCGGACGCATTCGCACCGCCTCCTGTCCTCCTGCTGACCTCCACCGCGCAACCCCTCCGCAGCTGAGCGCGCCACCGCGAGAGCGAATACTCAACCGCACTGCCATCGGCACCATCAGCATCATAGGCCGCAATTCCCGAAAGACCGCACCACAGCACGCAGAGGGCACACACCAGCAGCACACGGCCAGTCATCATCATCGCCATCACTCCTGTCACTTGCGTGTAGCCTTCAGCACAAATTAACTCCCCGTCAACGCAGAGCAAAGGCAAAAAAGAGACAATTCACACAATCACGCACTGTCCCATCCAGCAATGAGAGTCGCGCACCATCAGAACAATTAGGTGGGCGTGGTTCAACAAAAGAAAAAAAAAGAGGAGCGTTCCTCGCCCGTGTCCCGTTCCTCACACCCCCACAGTTACCATTACCGTTATTCTCTCTACTCAGGCCCTCACAGGCACGCCACGCTCACTTCAACACGCGCCCCTCCAGCACAGGCCTCGGGATCGTCGGGCCCTCCCAGCACAGGTAGTCCGTCATGCGCTCCCGCTGCGCCGCAATGTCAGCAACCTCCCAGTCGAACAGTTCCGTGTACTCCACGTCCCTCACAATCGCCGGCATGCCCCGGCCGCCACAAAACACACAGCGCCACAATGTCGTGCCGCCTCTCCTCCACAATCATGAGCGCAACACCGAACGCGTACTTGCGCACGTGCTCCATGCGCTGCAACCACCCGCGGATCAGGTTGGCCGTCATGCACTGCATCTTGTTGTCCTCCTACTGCTTGGAGCAGACCTTCACATCCTCTCAATTCACGGCATGGGTGCTGCGAGAGGCTGCCGGGTGGTGTCACGTGTGTGGAAGACGAAAATATGCGGGAACAACAGCCACCCTCACTCCCTCACACATCTCCACTCCGTCCACTCTCCCGCACACAAGGACGGTGTCATGGGGAAGAGAAGCCCGCCGCACAGCGCATGCACAAGGGCACATGCAATAGCAACGCCATCCACGTCGCACCGCAGTAAAGAGCCATGCGCACAGCACAAACACGGCGGCAACAAGAGGGACGGGGCGGATACAAGTACATACCGCAGTCCTTCACTTCTCCCTTCCCCAGCGGATTGGCGTCCCACACTCACAGTGAGGCACGGCGCACACCATCCGCTCCACTCCTAGTGCACTCAGCAGGCCGGCGCCCAGTCGCCCTCGTGCCATCGCAATGAGGAACACAAACAATCGTCGTCGCGGACCATCGATGCCTCTAGAAGGAAAGAAGAGAAAAAAGGGAACGAGGGCATGTCAACTGCACAGTCAGCAGAGGAACACTCAACGGGATACAAAGACACACAGTGACAGCAGATACGGTAACTACAGAAACAAACTGCAGGGATTAAAAAAGAAAACAAAAAAAGAACGGGTGGGAGTCCGGCATGACTCCCAAAAGTAAAAGAAAAAAATTAATGAAAAATTGATGCGGCAGGACTTTTATTTCATGTGCTGAGCAGCACAAATCGACCGTGTTTATATAAATATTGCCCGCACCAAAAAGGAAAAAAAAAAAATTGAAGCAAAAAGAAAGAAAGATCGCATTATTCCACCAGCCCACACAACATTCTTCACATTTCATGCGGCATCCGGCCTGTTCTCCTC